ACCAATTTACATCACACTAGACGGTACTTAAAATCAAGGACCATGACTCAGCAACTACAGCCAGCCAATCACACATAACCCAAAATCAGACCGGGACTCAGAAAGTTATTTAAAAGCCAGCGCTCCCCCAGACAAGCACAATCCAAAGCGCACTGAAGATGTCTCCTCGAAGGGGGATGAAATGTTTGCAACCCAATCGCCAAACTCGGAGCTCAAACCAACAACATAACTACCAACCTGAGCTACTAATATTTATTTATTTATTATTTATTTATGAAATATATTTATATGCCACCCAATGCCGAAGGACTCCGTGCGGTTTACAAAAAATATAGAAATATAGGGAAAAAAACCACATAACAATAAAAGAAAACAATTTAAAAACAACAAACACCCTCATACATTCATTCTAGTCGGGGCTGGACCTCAACAGTGAGGTCAACAGCCCCAGGCCTGCCGGAATAGCCAAGTTTTTACAGCTTTCCTGAAAGCATGTGATCACCTTTTTTCCCCAGGACCTCAAACCATGTGGTCCTGTCCACAAAACCATCTTTCCAAGTGGCCTCCATGTTTCCAGTATCCTCCCCCACCCCACTCTCAACTTGGAACTGAACAATGTAATGAGTTCATTAAAGCTTTGAGTATTCTAGATAGATTTGATTTTTCTCTGTTTATTTTCCTGGGTTATTCTTATGAATCTTTTCCAACACTACTACAATTCAAATTATTTTTTAAAATGAGCATCTCAGGCACTCTCCATTCTAAAATTCAGGATTCTGTAAAGATTCAAAAGTGCTAGAAAGTTATTTACATATTGCATTAGGCCCTACTGGTTTAATCAAGGATGTATTTAATAAACTACAAATTAACCGATTTTGTACAAAAGAATGGTTTATTAACCACAGTCACTAAACCAAAAAAAGCAAATCATCTTTTGGGCAATAGATGATCCTAGGCAGGTTTATGCCACAATCCAATATAATCCTTCCCAAAAATTAAAGCCTGAAGTTCAAAGGATCTGTTCAAAGGTAAACGCCTACACTTACAGAGTATCCCCACAAGAAGGCTCTCTCAACCAAATATCCTGCCAAATTTTCCTTCGCACGGGATTATCTTCCAGTCGCTCCGATACCGTATTCACCCATTCACGTATTCACCCATGTGATGGGACTTCCGCCTTTATGCCTTTAAAATGGAAGGAGGCGTGGCTAGATAGGGTTTCTCCGGCTATTCAGCTAATTACGGTAGATTCGGACCGGAATGAAAACTGTAGGAGTACCCGCTAGCCAGTTCTAGGCTCTTCATCCCCAAATAGAATTAAAAGCGCGATAGACTCGTGACTTTAAGTAACGTTACGGAGAACAAGAGCTGACGCGCAACGAGGAAGAAGACCGCGTCGAAAGGTCGTGGCAACTTCTTTTGTGCTCTGCAAGGAGTAGAAGCCAATTTACAGATGTGGTTCGGCTGTCAACCTTAGGACCTGGGAGAAAATGGGAGCAGCATGATTCATGTTCGCCTCCGAGTGGGGGAAAACAGGAAAGCCTGAGCGGACCAGAAGGAAGCCCGTCATTCTTCGGTAACTATTCAACAAATCTCCCTTCCTATTTGTATTTGTTCTCTCCGGAAGAGGCCATCTGAGTGCACGTCATTGTAGCAAGGGATTTCTTTCATTACCTGTCTGGTTTCTTCTGTCTTTTATCTTTTGCCTTGTTGTAAAGCCATTGTCTCTCTGCTCCTCTTAATATATATAAACACGCGGTGTCACTGTGAAAATGTCCTTGCAGTACCTCAAGGATGACAGAGGTAAGGATCAGCTGCTTTATAAAGGATATCTGTATAAGAAAGTCCGAGCAAGCGGGAACAAAACGTTTTGGAAGTGTGCTGAATACCGCAAATACTGTTGTACAGGAAGGGCTCACACAAGCCACGACCAGGTTATAAAGACTTTGCCCCATCTTCATCCTCCCACCAGGATGCCAGCAGAAGCTGACCAAGTGCCACATGGCGCAAAAGAAAGCACCGTGGGTCCAGAATCCATCCCTAAAACGAATACAGCAAGTTGTAATGCATTGTCAGAAGTTCGTACCAAGAAATGGTGCGCAAACCATCCAAGTCAGACAATACAGCGTTTGAGGGCGTGTTTGAAGGCAACCCGCCAATCTTCACCCAATTTACGGGAACCTGTCACTGCCGTTGAAATGACTACTCAAGAGCCAATTGTACCATCGGCTTTAACATCTCCTGGCTTTCATGAGAGCTCCGTGGACAGAACTTACACGCCAAACCATGCTCTTTGTAAAGAGAAACACGCTCTGAACTCGCCTTCAATCCAGGCTAATCGGGAAGCCGGTCGACAGAGATTCCGCCTGTCCACCCTCCTGCCTGGAGAAACTCTGCAGGAGATGCTGTCCAGGTTGAGCACCACAGCTCTGCAGTGGCTCCGTCCTCAGGAACACAGCAAGGACCAGATTGTGGACATGGTCATCCTGGAGCAATTTCTCAGTGTGCTTCCAGCAGACATGCAGACATGGCTGAAAACCCAGGAGCCAGGCAGCAGCGAGGAGGCCATTCAGCTGGCTATGGCCTATCATAGACAGGAACCTGCCAAGCCCGTTCAGGTGCTGGGGAATGGGGTATACTAAGGATGTATTGGAATCACATTATCTTTAGAATGGAAAAATGTAGTTGATGTTTAAACTATGCTGGAGGTTCTAGTGGTGCCCCTGCTGCTCCTGAATTCAGAGGGAGCAGTGTAGGCAGTTGTGAATGGGAAAAAATCCCTGGCCTCTCTGGCCAGAGAGCTTCTGATGCTGTAATCCTTTACTTTACAGCTAGGACATCCATAAGGAAGTATTTTGAAAAGGAGGGGAGGGGTCTGGTGAGCATAGGGAATTTATTTGAGGTCTGCACCTTAAGGAAGGAAAAAGCTTTATTTGGAGTAAGACATTCAGAAAAGCAAGGGATGACTCATATCCTAGCCTCTAAAATAGCCAGCCTTAATTTGCTGGCAGACTCTGTATGCTTTCTTCATTTAGAAATTGGGGAGAGTGAAAGTTGGTTCAGAATGCATATATTGTGTAAAGAAAGGTTGCTATCCTCCTTCTTTTATTGCTCTCGAAGCCCATGTATATTGGAAAATGAAAATACTTCCTGTCCATATGTTCATATGGGCTAATTGGTAGTTTGCAGATCCATGCACAGATTATGCTGCCTACATGTAATCTGGTTGTATAACCAACATGAATGCTATGGATTTGGTAGCTTTGCTGATACGCAAAAGGCGGGATCTTTGATCAAAGACATGCAATAAAAAGATTGCCTTCAATCCTCAGCTTTTCAGTAAAAGTGTAGTTCCACAGTAATTGTCATCAAACTTTCAGTGTTTGGCAGGAAGATGCTAAAATTTGGAATAGTGGAGGAAGATCTGGAGCTAAAATAAAATTAGAATTCAGTAAAATAAGTATTGGAATAAATATATCTATAATAAATGCATACATATTCCCGTGTATAAATGGCAAATTGCCAGGCTCTTATAGGTAAACATTTGGGCATGGACAGAAAAAAAAACTTTTAGTGTGTTCTTTTTTAAAAGATATATATTTGTTATGTTTTATCAACAGGAATAATATGCAAAACAGAAAACCATACATTCATCATTAGTAACAAAAAATAATTACGTGCAAACAAGAAATAAAATGACCCAAACAATAAATAAGTCTAACATTGAACATACCCAAAAATCCACCATGGCTGGATGCTGAAAAGAAAATTTAAAAACCCTGATAATTTCTTCTCCTCTTACCGAACAGATTTACAAATAATTATAAATTTTCTCATCCTTATTTAGCAAGAAAAATATATAAACAGATATTTCAGATTTGGAAATCTCTAATAATCAAACCGACCCAACAACTAATTATATTTAAAACATGAAAAAAGAAGAGTCAACTGATTAGCCCGAACATTACCCTAGTCCAGAGGTCCCCAAACCTGGGAACTTTAAGACTTGTTGATTTCAACTCCTAGAATTCTCCAGCCAGTATAGATGGCTGGAGAATTCTGGGAGTTGAAGTCCACAAGTCTTAAAGTTCCCAAGTTTGAAGACTTCTGCCCTAGTTTTCAAATCCCTCTGTTAACCATTATTGTCTTGTAGAAAGTCCACAAACGGCTTCCAGTGCCTTACAAAGCTGTCTTGTCCATTGTTTGATTACTGACTTGATTAGGTTCATAATTTGTTAAGAATACAGTACATACAATTCTTAGCAAATTATGAACATGATCAAGTCAATAATCCTGATGTAGAATTCTAAAGTCGAACTGGCTGATTCTGGTCATTAGTACATATGGTCCAGAACTGCCTTTTCCAAGTAGCACTAACTCTCTAGTAACTTAGTTTTTGCCATGGTTGTTCAGTGAATCACTGCAGTGATTAATTGAATAACATGGTTGTTAAGCAAATCTGATTTCCCCCATTGATCTTGCTTGTCAGAAGCCAGCTAGGAAAGTCACAGAAGATAATGCTTACCAATGGAAATTCTGATCCTAACTGTGTCCTGAGTCAAGGACAACCTGTATTCAGTATCATAGTGCCTCTAAAATTTAGAGCAATGCTTGCCAAACCTTTTCCTTGATTACTCAAAAACCACTTATCAAGAAGTCTTAACAAACAACAAGGACCCGTCATAAGTCCTTTCCTTCAGCACCGTTGTGACTTCAAATAGCAATAGCACTTAGACTTATATACCGCTTTACAGTGCTTTTACAGCCCTCTTAAGCAGTTTACAAAGTCAGCATATTGCCCCCAACAATTTGCGTCCTCATTTTACCCAACTCGGAAGGATGGAAGGCTGAGTCAACCTTGAGTTTGGTGGGATTTGGACTGCCAAATTGCAGGCAGTCAGCAGAAGTAGCCTGCAGTACTGCACTCTAACTACTGCACCACCACGGCTCAAAATGGTCACTGAATGTATGGTCATAATTCAATGACTACCTGTATTATGAAACAATATTATTGAATGATTTTATGTCTTATCAACAAGTTTCCATTAGCAATTGCATCATTTTTCATCTTAATATGAATACTTCGGGTGATTTTTGAATATATTTTACTACATCTGGCAAAGGCAATTTAAACATCCCTATTGTAGTAATGGGTTTATGTGTCATTATCCAAAGAAAAATACTTTTGACCCATTTGCAGTAATTTACCCAGATTTTGAGAAGTGCTGATTTAGAGAATCTATTTAGCTGTTATGGTTAGTAGCTGTTGCTAAACTTGTAATCCATAAATGGTTAAATCCTTTCTTTGAGCCATCCAAACCAGTTGCCAATTAAGGCAATTTTTTCTGAAATAAAAGCAGTGGCTGGAGAACAGAGTTTTGTGTGTGAGTTACATCACTGAGGTGCATAATTGTTTAGATGGCAACAGAATCAATTTGGGGAAGGTGAAATTTTTACTTTTCATATTGATAATTTTTCATTGCTTTGTTATTTTCAGTTTATATCTAGCCATCCAGTAATCATGTGTTGTACATTGCTTATTCCCTTCTTGCAAATTGGGAATAAAATTGGACCTGACCTGGGTAATCAAAGAAATTGAGGCTAGTGCTGATATTTGATCAGTAATCCCATCTCGAAGTCTTTGCAAAATTTCATGCAATTAATAGACTAACCCTTCTGATTATTTTAGGATATGATAACCTTTGAAGATGTATCTATTCATTTCACTGAGGAAGAATGGACTCTACTCAACCATAAAGAAAAAAACCTTTATTGGAATGTCATGCATCAAAATTATGATAATGTAGCCTGTCTGGGTAAGAATTCTGAGGAAATCCTAGAATGGAGGTTTTCTAAAGATTAGAAAACTAAGGCAACTTGTTATTTTTTTAGATGTTTGGTCCACAATTCCCATACCTTATAAGGGTCAAGGAATTGGAGTCAAAGGCCAAAAGATTTGGAAGGCTCAGATTAATTTACCTTGGGACTAAGCTAAATTCTGATGTAGATAAAAGATATTATCGGAGTTTATCAAAAAATGTTTTAATTAGCTGGTGGTTTTACAAATCTTTGTATGCTGTCTTGAGCTTCTTGGATTGACAGGCTACAAGTAGTCCTGATTTTTGACTGGTGCTGATCTTCAAAGATATTGATAGACCTCCCCAGGAGTATTTATGACCTAGTTCCAACAGCTATCCCAACCCCCATAATCACATGACAAGTGGTGGGATTCAGCCAGTTCGCACCTATTCGGGAGAAGCGGTTGTTAACTTCCTAAGCAGTTCAGAGAACCGGTTGTTGGAAGAAATCTCATCTCCCACCTCCCACTTTACAGGGCTAATCCTGTAAGGAAGGCAGGAAGGAAACATTCTGGTGTTGCTTTTAGCCTAATCTTTATTGCCCTGCTTACAGAAACTGCCTCTCCAGTTAACCCTTACTACATTGTAACAGCTAAGGCGAAGCGCCCATTGACCTGAGTGATGTTAAGTTGGCCACGCCCACCCAGTCACATGACTGCCGAGCCCCGCCTACCCAGCTGGTCATTAGGGCAGAGAACCATTTGTTAAATTATTTGAATCCAACCACTGCACATGACCATATTTCAGGCATTCGGCAACCAGCCCACATTTATGGCCATTTGCAGAATTACATGGTCATATGATCACATTTTATAACATTTTTGCCAAAAACCAGTTTACTTTCAAACCAGCCAATAGCAAACAATTGGTTCGATTAATTACTGTGGCGGTTGCTTTATAATTGCCATGTTTGCTTAATGACTGCTGCAAAAAAAGGACATATAATTGGGTCACTAATGTGGATTGACCCATTTTATGACCATCATGACTTACAACTGTAATGGACAGGCTCTATTATGGTCATAAGTTGAGAATTACCTGTACACAGCAGAAGATTAAAAAGTGAGCTGAAATATTATTTGGTTGCAACAAAGAGCAAGTATAACCATCCAGAATAACTAAGAATAAGTTATGGTGGTATACAAATTTAATAAAATAAAATAATAAAGACATTCTACCCATAGGTAAACTTTTTGATATATTTAGAATGCAAAGCTTTTATAAAATTACCATATTTAAGATTATGCTTAATTTATTGAAACAGAGTTTTCACTGCAAATATATATTGATGGGCTTAAGGAACATTTTGGTTGTTTCTTTCCTTTAGCAAGTGATCAGATCAAAGGAGAAAGTCAAGAGGAAGATCCCTTGCAGGAAGTCTTTGAACCAGCAGTGGAATGGCTTGAAAAATCCAAGGAGACAGTTTTACAACATCCTGAAGAAAAGTTGAATAACAGCTGTCTGAAGAACCAGCAAAAGAGAACCTTGGAGAAGGAAGAAATATTCACTGGTTCTGAAAGAAATGTGATGGAACCAGACATAGACATCATTCTTCTAGGCAGTGACGAAGGGCTGCAAAGTCAATGCATACATATTGATTATGGAGAAGGTGGTGCATCTGAAATATCTATCAATGATCAGAAAAGCCTGAAAGGAGAAAATCTAAGAGGCTCATATGGAATATCCAATAAGATACATCCCCAGAATTTTCAACAAAATTTAATCAGAGTGGAACAGAATGATACGGAAAGGCAACAGTCAGAAAAAGAGAAATTTTATGGAAGCCATTGGAGAAATCGAGTCCACCATGAAACCAGAACAAATTGGAATGCTGGGTGCGCAACCATTGATGATATAGAACAAACTGAGCCACTGATACGCAACAGTCAGAGAGATTTTAGATCTGTAGATAAATCATTGGAAACGATTATGGAAAGGATTTCTCCAAGTCCTGATTCAGATCCAGTGCTCATTTGCTCAAAAATATGTTCTGCTGAATTGAATGAAAGTACGGATTTGACCAGTGAAAACCAGAAGATTCTGGAAAGTGGTCTAGTTAATAGTTCAGGAAATGAAGGAGGGCTGGAGAAACTTAATTCTTTTGGAAGTGTTTTACAGGAACCAGCAACACAGATTCCTCATCCAGATGTTCAACAAGACTCAGAAGCCCAGTACAGATATGCCAGTCATAGTAACGAAGATGACGCTTCCAAAGTCATCCTTGGAGGTCAGTTGATGACATGTCCTAAGAATAAGCATTTTAATTCTTTCAAACAGTATGCCTGTTCCAATCCTGAGGAAATCATCAGTAGCCTTTCAGCTTTAATAAAACGCAGGAGAGTGGACAGAAAATATTTCAGCAGGAGAAATTTGAAATTCCAATCTGGAGCACATCATAGAACTCGCACAAGAAATAATCTCCAGAAACGCTTGATTAGGCATAACTGGTGGTACTCTAAACAAAACAGAAACTGGCTTCTTGAATCAGGAGTTACTCTAAAACACTTCCCAAAGTTTGAACCTGTAACACTTAACACCCAAATGGGTGAAGCTTTGTACCTGGCTATGCAAATCATAAGGAGGTTTTCTGCAACTGGATTTTTCTCTTCGAGTTCCCCCCAAATGGAACAACAGGAGAGATCTTTTCCTCTTCCCTTTCTAGACAAAATGGCTGCTGAGCCTACCTTAAGCCAGGTAATGACTGTGCTGCAGCAGGTGGCTGCTAATATTGCAGAAATCAAGGCAGCCATCTCCAGCCTGCATTCCACTGTAACTAGCCTCCAGAATGGATGTTTCTCTGAGTGTACAGTTGAAGCTGAAGGTGGGATTTCTGATTTGAAAGACCCCGCCCAAAAGACTAAAGATCATGCCTCGGCAGTCTTGTAATGATATTAAAGCCACTGAAGTCAAACAGGTAGGAACATCCATGCAGTAAGAGCTAAATTGTGGTCATGCTTGAAATTCTCCACATCTCTCCCCAATTCATGAATTAAGAGATTCATGAAGAAAAGATTCAATTCCAAGCTGATAGAATATAGAATTATAGAGTTGGAAGCACCCATTTCTAGAAGTAACATTTATTTATAGTAACGTTTGTAGAAAACGTTTCAAAACTGCAAAAAAGAAGCAGTAGTAATCATAATAATAAAATGAAGTGGGTTTTTTGTGTCGGTGGATTGAAAGTAGAACATGGAAAAAGGAGGTTTAAACAGTTTGTTGTAATTCCCATGTTCAGAAACCAAGAAAATGGCCTCTCACTGATCTTCTGTCACACAAAACATAATATGGTGAGGAATATCTGTCAGAAAAATTTATTCTGGGAAAAGATTATGCAAATAGAGAGAAGCAAAACAATTGTTTAAAAAGGTTGACCCTTTTTAGAAAGGAAGGGAGAAATAAAAGGAAGCTTTTAAAATATGCATTATGTAATATGAGTAAATTGTCTCCCTTAGCTCATTCCACATAACTTTCTTTTAGGCATGATGTTCTTGCAGCTTAGGTGTTAACCAAAATGCCTTCGAAAATAGGATTCTATCTTTGTATGTGGATGCACACAAATAATTGAGTGTGCACTTCTATGCACTCTTACTTGTGAATAAGCACTATGGTTAATGGGACTTATTTTCTTGTAAACATGCATTGTTTTTTAATTTTAAATTCCAACATGAAATCAAAAAGAGGCTCAGTAATTGGTGGGCCAGGAGAGAAAAATCTTCTCAGTTTCTCCATTGTGTATCTTAAGTCCTCAGCTTCTTCATCTCAGAGGTTTTACCACATATTATAAAGATTCCCTTAAACCAAACTCAGTCCCTGATTATAGAAAGGTGCTTTTCTTGGGAAGAGTACCAAGTGGTTCGTTCCTGCTTTTTTCTGTGATATTTGTTCCACTTCCCACCCTAGATCAGATCCCTGGAATCTTTGGTAGTCTTCCGTCCAAGCATCATCAGCCAAAGTTAAATGCAGCCATTTTGCTAAAGGAATAAACTGTATGGGCAGATGTGATGCGTAGTCCAATTCCAGCAGCGACCAGTAAATCCACTTCTTTATGGGAATCCTAGAAGCAGGCCAAGGCTTATAGGAAAGAGTCCTTTCTTTGTCTCCATAACTTGAAAAAACTGCCTTTGACCACAATGGTTCAATTTAGGAAACACGTCTTTTTCTTCATAAATGTGTCAAAACCAGTGGTGGGTTCCTACAGATTCGGACTGGTTTGATCGAACCAGTAGTGGTTTGGCGGCCTGGGTTACTGGAACTGGCAGCGACCCAGGCCTGCCACACCCCTGAACCGGTTCTTATATGGCTGCACCATTTTGATTTTTGGTTTCATTGCATAAATGTAATTTCCCCCCATTTTTTAACATTTTGCGCATGCGCAAACCTATTTATGTGCAAATGTGCACACATTTTTGCGTGCACCAAACTGGCAGTAATGCCAGCAGTAAACCACCCCTGGTCAAAACCCCGTTTGAATTCCAGCTAGACTGCCTGCGAGCAGACCCCTCACAGAGAGGTCGAACAACACGAGGCTGGGTTTCTCAGGGCTTGGCTCTTGAGTCAATATTTTTCATTTGGTAATCTGAATACTTAGATTTGGTAATCTGAATACTTAGTAAGAGGGATATTTTTTTATATGTAGAATGTGTTTTCCCACCCACATATTCATAGTAGATGCTGCCTCCAGAGAAATATGTCTGGCTCTGATTATTCTTAATGTCAGCCAGGGATTCTGAATGATGACTGGGTTAATTTTAAACTTTCTTGATTTGGGGGGGCTGCTGCTTTTACAGCAGTATTTTATAACACTTAGTGTTATGCATTTTAGCTATTCCTTTCTTAATGTATATTTTGGTGGCTCCAAATTTAATTTGGTGATTTTAAAGTAAAAAGGTAAACAGTAAAGTATCCAAGTTAGCATAATTTGCCTGACTAAATCTGAGTTTAAAAGCTAAGTAACCCGTTTTCTTGAAAATAAGACTTCACCGGATAATAAGCCCAATTGGACTTTTGAGTGCATGCGCTAAAATAAGCCCTCCCTGAAAATACTGCAACACAGCAGCAGCCATGAGGTGACTCTGCTCGCCACCTCCTGCACCTCAAAAATAATAAGACCTCTCCGAAAATAAGGGTAAGTGCTTATTTTGGGAGGTCAAAAGAACATAAGACCCTGTCTTATTTTCAGGGAAACACTGTAGTATCTGCTTGGATAATAACAAGGATGACAGAATGACAGCTTAGAATGGAAAGTCAAAAACATCCCAGTGATGAACTGTTTCATTATTACTAACCAAAATACCCCTGTATGAACACATCTATGAATTCAATAGCTGGGAAAACTAGAATTTCAACAGTGGCTACCCATTTCAAAAATGAAATTAAGAAATATATTGACAATTTCCCCCTCTGCCCTTCCAGGTTATCTCCCATTTCTTTAAAAAAAAATTCAGTCCAGGACAAAATGATTCAGGTAGTTCTCATTTAGCTGCTGTCTCATGGAGCAACTGATTGCAGTTGCAGCGGTAATGAAAAAGTAACTTTACAACTAAACCTCACATTTATGCCTCTCACAGGTCTGTAAAGCAAAGGAAAGCTGAAGAAGGATCATAAGAACAGTTGCCAAGCTGCCAGTCCCAATTGTGGTTGGTAAAGGCTACCCATATTTAGCACTTTATTAATATTAACAGGAGTTGCTACCTGGCAACACCCAGATCTCCTGACTGAGAGTCTTGGGAGCATCTGGGAAGAATGCTGAGCCAAGTACTGTTGTAGCAGTGCTGAATCATGTGTAGTTATTGCATCATTTAAATAGTAATTATTCTTACTGGGAAAAGCTGGGAGCTCAGGAAACTATTTTTTATTATCACCAAAATTTATCCGCATTTTTTTCTGACTCTTGATGATTCCTTACTTTCTTTGAGCACTTTACTTGAAACTATCTTTGTCTCTCTTAACACACTAAAATGCACTGTATTTCTAATCTGATTATCTGTCCCACACTCGAACCCTCTTTTCATTTTTGTGTCCTTTGCTAGTTATCTTGGTCTTTCATTTTAAACCATCAAATCAGTCATGATTTTAATTGTATTTATTTGCTATACAAATACATGCATTCTCTTATCTGAAATAAACAAAAATTCACCAAACAATAATGATTCTCATTCGTTTGGAGTCTCTAAACAGCCCAATTGCTTTCTCTACTCCCATTTCATTCTCATCCATCCATTCATGTCAGTTAGCAAACTACAATTCCCAAAGTTGTCTCTGTTTCTATGCCCATCTCCAACAACCTTGATTATGTGCCATTAAGTCAGTGTCAGGTCTTAGTGACCAGGTAGACAGATGTTCTCCAGAATGATCTGCTCCATCAATTCATACCCCTCTTACATATTATAGCCTTTTCCTTCATAATGAAATCCAAATCTTCAATCCCCTGGGTATATTCATTATTGCCATGCATATGTATTTAATCTTTCCATAAACAACATATCTATTATCTTCCTTTCATTTGTTTGATTTCCTTTATTATCTGAACCTCCTTATCACTTCCTTAAGGGACTTAAGTGGTCAGTGGCTAAGATGCTGAGCTTGTCGATCAGAAAGGTCAACAGTTCGGTGGTTCAAATCCCTAGCACCACATAACGGAGTGAGCTCCCGTTACTTGTCCCAGCTTCTGCCAACCTAGCAGTTCGAAAGCATGTAAAAATGTAAGTAGAAAAATAGGAACCATCTTTGGTGGGAAGGTAACAGGGTTCTGTGTGCCTTCGGCATTCAGTCATGCTGGCCACATGACCATGGAGACGTCTTCGGACAGCGCTGGCTCTTCGGCTTTGAAATGGAGATGAGCACCGCCCCCTAGAGTCGAGAACGACTAGCACATATGTGCAAGGGGAACCTTTACCTTTACCTTTTATCACTTCCTTCTCTTGCATTCTGTGTCACAATCTGCCATGGTTGTCATTGGAACATATTGATCTATATGATCTACGTGGCTTTGGGCAATCAAGGCTTTAGAGTATGATGTTTTTCAGAAGGGATAAAAAATGCTTTAGTTCTACCCATTCCAGATGCAGCATTCCCTGATGATGATAAGAACAGCAACAGCCAGTTTAGGCACACTGTGGCTCAATTACCACAAAGCTAGCCAAATCCCAGTTTTGTCCCACATGTGTTCATGCTATCCTAGGCCAGAAAAAGTATCTAATCTAGGATGTTCTATAAAATATTAGGTTAAAGATACCAATAATTATATCCATGCCATTTTCATTTGTTTCATTATTTACAATAATAAGTCCTACATCAAAAGCGAGTTGTCTTCTCTATGGATTATGGAATAAAGAATGGTGTACACCATTTTATTGTATCAGATTGAATTTATTTCAGATTGGGATTCTTTTGGGAAAAGTGGAGGTGTGCTTTTGGGACTTAGGGATGCGGTGGCTCAGTGGCTAAGACGCTGAGCTTGTCGATCAGAAAGGTTGGAGGTTTGGTGTTCGAATCCCTAGCGCCACGTAACAGAGTGGGCTCCCGTTACTTGTTCCAGCTTCTGCCAACCTAGCAGTTTGAAAGCATGTAAAAATTCAAGTAGAAAAATAGGAACAACCTTTGGTGGGAAGGTAACAGTGTTCCGTGTGCCTTCGGCATTTAGTCATGCTGGCCACATGACCACGGAGACGTCTTCGGACAGCGCTGGCTCTTCGGCTTTGAAACAGTGATGAGCACTGCCCCCTAGAGTTGGGAATGACTAGCACATGTGCAAGGGGAATCTTACCTTACTTTTGGGGCACATCTGTTCTAGCACTTTCTGTGTCCAGACTTACTCTCCAGTTTAGAACAGACCTTTGCTAGGCAGAATCCTAGCAATATTTATTTTTATTTTATTTGAATGTATGACGATATCTAAAAGCACCATTACCTATCTAATTAAACATGACCTCAGAGAAGATGCACCTGTCAAGTCGCAAAGCATCCCTGACATGCTCTCAAGTTGCCCTAGGCAAGAAGTGGGAAAACTGATGGAGCAGCACGGCAGGCACAATCAGAAGCACATTCCACGCATATCTTTCTCAAGGCTGTATCCCAGGTTACTTGCAACAGCCAGAGGGGCATGATCTCTACAGCCCCCCAAAGTGCTCCATTGGAGAATGTGATTTATGACACACCCTGGGGGAAGGGGGGGAAACAGGGTCATAATTGGGCCATAAATTACATGGGGTCAGAGCTGGCTTCACTTGGGTACATGCCAACATGTTGCTCCTAATAAATAACTGGATTTTTTTTTTTGAAGAAATTGGTTTGAGGCTCATGATTTAATTAGGTCATCCATCAGAATCCTGACAGAACCCGCAACAACCACCACCAGAGGGCCCTGGGTACTAAAGCAGGGGAGCCTGTTCCCCACAAATTCAACCTCTATTATTTCTAACCAGGATATGAAGAGGTGGAACTTCCTAGATCAGCTGCAAAATTTTGGCTTGGTTTTATCTTAAGCACCTGACCAAAGTGAGAACTCTGACCTCACCTGCCAGGACTACTACAGCAACCAACAGTCAATCAACCAACCAGAGCCTCTTGGTACTGTAATTGGAAACCATCCGGCTCAACCAGTGGAAACAAGTTGGACTTTCGGAAGATTCAGTTTTAGCCTTGGATATTAGACATGCTGATTTAGGACAGAAAGCCTTTCACTCCAACCCTCAAAGGACCATGCAAAGCTGAAAAACAAACATACACATGTCCCAAATGTGCCTTTTCAGGAGGCAAATTGGACTTCCTTGTTTTTTCTTTGAAGATGTTTTGCTTCTCATCCAAGAAGCTTCTTCAGCTCTGACAGGATAGTGGAATGCTCTTCAAAGAAAAAACAAGAAAATCCAGTTGCCTCCTGAAAAAGCACCTTTGGGACAACCCTGACCTGGATGGCTGAGAATCTCCACAGACTTTTAAACATACACAGTGTGTATGTGTATGCATTTTGTGAAGAGAAAAACCAATTAGAAAGCATTCAATACTTACACGATTTGCCCTATATATACGTATATTAAAATTGATATGTTTTATTGTGGTTTTCAAATACCAACCATAGAGATGCGGATGGGGTGAAGGGGCTAGTCATACAGTATGTGCCAGTGTTAACCACACTAACCACATTATAAAGGACTGCAGATCAACTGAATGGGGACAATTTAACCTACATTTAGACCTGATAGTTGTGTTTCAGATGACAGCATTACATTCTTTCTTCCTTGAGTGAACTTTTAAAAGCTACAGGATAGGACTGTTGTCTTTATAGCAGGCAAATATTCAGTGGATCTTCTCTTTAAGATCTGCTCCCAGTTGGAAAGAAGCAAGGGCGGGTTCCGGCAGGCACTACTGCTGGTTTACTTATGGGAGTGCTGTACACGCTTGATTCGCATTGTTCGTGCATGCGCAGTGAAGTTAAAATTGTTCTGTGTACGGGCAGAACCCAAAAACAAGATGGTGGCGCCTATGGCACCATGAGGGGAACCGATTGGGGGCCTAGCAGGCCTGGGTCTCGGCCAGTTCCAGCGACCCAGGCCGCCAAACCACTACCGGTTTGGCCAAACCAGTCTAAACCATTAGGAACCCACCACTAGAATGAAGGCCTGGCGGAAGAAATTCTAATAGCTTTCTGGATACCATGTGGTTTTTTTTAATATATTAAGAGTTCTGTCAAGGGAGAGCCAGGAAGATGACATTTTCAGCAGGTAGAGTTTTGGAGATTTTTGAGTGAAAAAAGAAGAGAAGGGATATTGACCCGTCTGTATTTATGTATGTATGTGTTCTTTTGGAAAGCAGTGTGGAGAAATGCACAAGCTCCTTCCCCTTTAAAGATGAATGTGTGTAGACTGAAGATGGAGGTCTGGTCTTGCTGGGTGCTGCTCAGGTTTCCCGTGACTTGGAATTGCACCTAAATACCTGCTGCTTCTTGATCCAGAAATTGTGACCTGCAGAAGAGCGGCTGCTTCTTCTGATGGGGGTTATTCCCCAGAGAGTTGCTTGCATGTCATGAAAAGGCTTCTAAATCAGAATATAGTGCTTCCAAAAAAAAAGAGAAGCCCTTTCCCACATAAATTAGTCATTCAGGATTACAGTGTACAACATGGGTGTCAAATTTGCGGTGTTGCGTTGCCATGATGTATCGTGACGTTTTTCCCCTTGGCATAGCTGGAGTAGGCATGGCCTGCCAGTTTGACACTCCTGGTGTACAAACAAGATCAACATCTCAAGCCACAAATCCTATCCCACCGACCATAATAATGTCCCATTTACAAGTTTAATTTTTCTCCAGAAGTTGTGAATGCTCCAACAATGGAGGTTTTTAAGAGGAGATTGGACAATTATTTATCTGAAATGGTGTAGCATTTCCTACTTGACAGGGGGCTGGGTTAGAAGACCTCCAGGGTCTCTTCCAACTCCTATTCTGAAAAGACGCAGGACTACCATGAAAAACTATCCTGGCTCAGGGGTGGAGACAAATATTGAAAATAAAGTTTAAAAACAATACTTATAGGGCGCACACAATCCACTCAGGAATTTTTGTTTAGTGTTTTGGATTTGGTAGAACAATTGAGAATAGAGGTGACCATCATTGCAATCATTGAATCAACTGGAGAGCAAATGCCATCCCTGGAGATGCCATTACAGTATGAAAGTGTTG